GTCCAGAGCATCTTTTGGGAAATCATGACAAGATGGTGGCCATAGCCACAGGCAGTAAGATTCTTCTGTGGGCACTGCAGGCAGAAGGTGGTGGCTCTGAGACAGGAGGCTTCCATCTGTGGATGCCTTTGGAGTCCTTGTTCTTTGTTGAGAACCAGCTTATCACCACAAGTCACACTGGACATTTAGGGTGTAGAATGCTATCACTAAGCGCTGGCAGGTCCAGGAGGTGCAGCCATGACAAGTTACAATGCTGTAGGCTCCTTCCTCCTCCTGGGATACAAAAAGGGTTCACCCAACCATGTGGATGTGCAGAGGGTCCCTCTTTGCATGAAGGACCACAACACAACCTACTAGTCAGCAAGATCTATCAGGTTCCACGAGAAGATGGACTTACCCTCTCAGCATCTACCTCACCCCCAACAAATAGCAACAGTGAGAATTGGATGTAGATTGTCTATGACATGAGCTTGAGGTGCATGTGTATTATCATGCAGCACCCAGAGACCATGATTCAATTCCCCAGGTCTTCCAGATCTTCGTCCTGAGCTGTAGTCCCATTACCAAGATCACACTGTCCAAGAAGCACCTCGTCTCAGTCTGTGCTGACAACAACCACATGTGGATCTTTTGAGGCCTAATTTCTACCTATCCTGGTTCCACCCCTCTCACTTCCTTCAATATCCTTGTGCTAGAGTTGGCTTACAGGCGTGGTTACTGCAGCACTGGCATTGATGAGCAGGAAGAACCACAAGTGTTCCTTCAGATAGTGGTGCCCAGAGCTGGTTGCCTCTTCATGAGACCCTTGTCCGTGGGCAGCGGGTATGCTCCATGTGCTCTGTGCACTATTTGGGTTCTCTTCCACCACTCTCATGGGCATAAGAGCAGAGCCTCCTGGCTGCTAGGATCCAGGCCTCAGTGCTACCTGTCAGTGCTGAGGAGGAAGCAGCTTTATAGAATTCTGCTAGAATTGGTGAAGAAGGGCCAGAACCCAGATGGCCACCAACACCAGCCCCTGACTTTCGACAGGCCTTGGGGTTCCCCTCATTCCCAACATGAAGCTCAACAAAAGATCCTTCTAATGACAGCTACCTTTTGTGCCATTGATATCTTAGTGCTGTTGGGCTCAGGTGACTCCTGCTTCCTGTCAGACCCCTGTGTTCAGGGCTAGGGCCTCCATGGGGTAGTCTCTGTTATTAAGCCCCCTCCTTTCACCTTTTCCTAGAAGCCTAAGTCACCCTCCAACCAACAATGTTCTCATAGAAAAATAAAAATACATGATTATAAAATTAAGAAATTCTGTGAGATTTCACCTGACAGGATGCACAGGAATCTGATTGATTACATCTCTGGAAGGAATCATTGGAGAAGTTCAGTATCAGTGAAAACTAGGTCAAGTGCTGATTGTTGAACAGACCACCAACTTCTCATATGCAAGTTCACATTAAAACTAAAGAAGGTTAAATTATATCCAAAGGAACCAAAATTTCACCTTCTATCTCCCATGAATTTAAAAACTGACTTAGGAGTAGGTTTGAGGCCTTGACCACTAATGAATGAAGACCAGATGAGCTGTGAGAGGATGACAAGATATCATTCATCAAGAATGCAGAAAGTCATTACTAAGAAGGAAAAAGAAGACCAAAATGAAATGTCAGAAGAGACTCTGAATATTGCACTAGAACACTGAGAGGCTAAAACAAAGGGAAGAAATCAAGAAGAAGATGAAGAGAAGATTTCAAAGGGCTGCTCGGGAACACAAGTCATAATATTATAATGATGGGGTGTGTGGGGGCGATTGTGTACCAATGAAGGAGTTCTGCTTTTCAAGGAGAGGAGCAAACTGGGGGTGGAGGGGGCAGGGAGAAAAGTGCAACAATGAATGAATGGAATAAAAAAATCTCTATAGATGTTGATTGAAATTAATTTAAAAAATATTATAATGAAATGTTCGAGGAGTTGGAGTCAGAAAATCAAAAGGGCTGAACTTGCTCAGCATTTCTTAACCTGAAAGAACTAAAGAATAAATTCAAGCCACAAGTTGCAATGCTTAATGATGTTATGGGCAGAATATTGAATGATTTAAGAAGCATTAAAAGAAGATGGAAGGAATATACACAGTCATTGTACTAAAAAAGAATTGGCTGACACAAAAGAATTTTAAGACACAACATATGAGCAAGAGGCAATAGTGATGAAAGAGGAAGTTCAGGCTGCACTGAAGGACTTGGCAAAAAATAAAGCCCCAGGAATTGATGGGATAGCAGTTGACATATTTCACACACAGATGCTGCCCTGTATGTGCTCACCAAGTTGTGCCAAGAAATCTGGAGGACTACTACTTGGCCAACGGACTGGAAGAGATCCATATTTATTCTTATTCCAAAAGTTATCGAACAGTACTACTAATATCACACAATAGCAAAATCCTGCTAAAGATTGTATGAAGATGACTGGAACAGTACATTGACAGAAAACTATCAGAAATACAAGCTGGGTTTAGAAGAGGTCGTGACACTAGGGACATTATTGCCAATGTCAGATGGATCTTTGCAGAAAGCTGAGAGTCCCAGAAGAATGTTTGTGTTTCAGTGACTGTACACAAGCATTTGACTGTGTAGATCACAAATTGTGGCTAACTTTGAGGAAAATGGGAATCTCAGAACACTTGATCATGCTTATACAAAACCTATACTTGAACCAAGAAGCAATCCTCGGAACAGAACAAGGAAACACAGCATAGCATCATTCAAAATCAACAAAGTACTGTGTAATTGATGCATTCTGTCCCCATACCTTTTCTTTCTGTATGCAGAACAGGTATTTTAAGAAGCATGGCTTTGCTTTTTGCCACAATCCTTTGCCCTCTTCCTTTCCAGCCTGGTTCTGGAACTATGGCCCCCACAAAGAAGGGTGGTGAGAAGAAGAAAGGCCGTTCTGCCATCAACGAAGTGGTGACCAGAGAGTACACCATCAACATTCACAAGCACATCCGTGGAGTGGGATTTAAGAAGCGTGCTCCTTGGGCACTAAAGGAGATCCGGAAATTTGCCATGAAGGAGATGGGAACGCCAGATGGTCGCATTGACACCAGGCTTAACAAAGCTGTCTGGGCCAAAGGAATAAGGAATGTCCCATACCCCATCCATGTACGGTTGTCCAGAAAACGTAATGAGGATGAAGGTTCCCCAAACAAGCTGTATAGACTGGTTACCTATGTACCTGTCACCACTTTCGAAAATCTATAGACTGCCAATGTAGATAAAAACTAATAGGTGATTGTCAAATAAAGTTATAAAACTGTAAAAAAAAAAGCATGGCTTTATGAAGAGGAGTGTGGCTTCAAGAATAGAGGAAAACTCATTAACAACCTACGATACGTAGATGACATAACCTTGCTTGCTGAAGATGACCTGAAGCACTTGTTTTAAAAGGTCAAGGACTGTAGTCTTCAATATGGATTTAAGCTCAACATCAAGAAGACAAAGATTCTCACTACTGGGCCAACTGGCAGCACCATGATAAATGGAGAAGAGATTGAAGTTGTTAGCATTTACAGCGTGCTTGGATTCACAATCAACACTCTTAACACCAGCAGTCCGGAAATCAAAAGATAAGTTGCATTGGGAAAATCTGCTGTCCTGGATTCCTCCAGAGTGCTGAAGAGCAACAATGTCAGTCTAAAAAGAAAGGTGCACCTAATCCAGGCCATGGTCTTCTCAATTACTTGTTATGCTCCAGAGAGTTGGACAATGACTAAGGATGACAGGAGAATAGAAGTCTTCGTGTTGTGGTGCTGGAGAAGAGCCTTGAACATATCATGGACCACCAAGAAAACAAATAGGTCTGTCATGGAGAGGTTGAAATGCAGTCTCTTCTTGGAGGGTAGGATTTGGAAGCTGTGCCTCATATACTTTGGACATTTGGCCAGGAGAGACCGGTCCTTGGAGAAGGACACCATGCTCAGAAGGGTGGGCAGACAGTGCAGGAGAGGAATGCCCCAGGTTAGACAGATTGATACAGTATCTGGGGCAATGAGGGTTGGTGTGTTGGAATTAGCAAGACTAGCTCAGGAGAGGGAAGGGTTTAGAACTGCTGTACATTGGAATACAGTTAGAATTGCTATACATCGCTGGTGACTAAATGGCACATAACAACAACAAACTATATTGGTTGTGTTTTGGCTCAGGTTGGTTTTTATTTATTTATTTAAGCCTCTTGTTTAGAGTCAACAAGACCTCAGGGAGGGCCTTTGTGTTTAAAGTGATGGTTATTATATTTTGAAGGAACATTCCTCTTAGTGGTACAGCACTCCTCTGTAAATATGCTGTACTGAGGTAACTTGGGTTTGCTGTGATGCTGAACCTTATGCCATTGGGGTGTCAAATGCCATAATGGTTACTCATGGTGTATAGTGTTGGGTGGCGCTCCCAGTTTAAGGCAGGTTTGGAAGCAAGAGTGTCACCCATTTCCCTAAACAACATGTCTCCGTAAACTCTATGAACTTGGATAAATGTCGACAGTTACAGGAAAACTTCAGGCCTTTTGTTCATTGGTTTGCTATGAGTCATGCTCAACTCGAAGACAATCAACCACAACAACATGAGACAGAAGGGTCATTTATCGTAACTGTGACTCAAAATGGACAAAACACCACCCACTATTACTCATTTTGAATTTAAAATTATATTTGAAAAATATTTTTATACGTGGTAAGTGGCTAGAAAAAAAATTAAGATATTGAGAGATAAAATTCTTTTAAAAGGTGTAGATTATCTCCCTCAATTCCTTTAATTGATATCCTGAGACCTTAGCAATAACTTCCCTTTTAGTTTCAGAAGCCATTTAAGAGAGGTAAGAATTTAAGAGGGATAAGAAAGGGATAAGGACTCTAAATAGTGGGGTGTTACCATATCTTTCAGTAGGTCCCCAGGTTAAGACTGCTGATGTGAGCGCTAGTATTTTAACTGCAAATTCTGTCATTTTCATGTCTCCTTCAGGTAGTGCTGGCACCCCAGTGATGTTTAACAAGAATGGCGATGCACCTGGACGTTATGACATCTTTCAGTACCAGACAACAAACACCACTAACCCGGGCTACCGCCTGATTGGACAGTGGACAGATGAACTTCAGCTCAACGTGAGTTCTACTTGTTTTTATCATCTTCTCATGTGAGGAAAGTCTCTTGTGTGAGGAAAGTCAGGATTGTATGTTTATCAGGTGGAAATGATCTAGTTTTAATGTTGGTGTATATGTACAAGAAAACATTCTACTTGTTACAGGTCTAACAGGTTTCTAATCATAATATGACAACTCTGTTGATGGGGTTGATGAGATATGCACTGAGTTTACGTTGGACATACTCTGAATTTTATATGAATTGACCCATTTAAGCTTGACACCACATTTAGGATTTAAAATTTGAGGTTTAGAAAGAAAACATTAAGGTTTATATTACCAGCTAGCGTTTTCACATGATCTCTTGATCTAAACTTCCTTTCTTATTTAGTAATGATATTTTTTTTTGCAAATGAGTTAATTTTTAGTGTATTTTATTGATAATACTTTTCTGAGATTATATGACTAATTGCAATGTTAGCCAGTTTTATAACCTTTTTCTCTAACACGTGACCTTGCATAAACAGTCAAGTCTTTCTATACGATTATGTACAAGTCCACTAGACAAAATCACAAAAATTATGCTGAGTGGATTAACTCAGGCACGTAATAACAAATGCTGTTTAAGATCACTGTTGTAAAAACAGATTATAACCAATGAGATGCATATGGATGTACAAAGAAGATAGGAGCAGAGGGCAGGAGGGCTCAGGGTGAGGAGGAGAAATCACTGGATTGTAGTTTGTTGGCAGAGGAAGGGAGCGAAAAGAATGTTATCTGTACTAATATAGACTGATTTAACTTGTAACACAAATTAAAAGTACATACACACAAAGAATTGGGTGTTTCAGGAGAAATGAATTGGGAATTAGTGGGAGTTTCTGCAGGCTTTGGGTTTGAGTTGGTGGGTCTAGGAGGTTTGGGGAAGCAGGGACAGGCTTGGGGTTGGGTACGCTTAAGCAGTGGAATTTAATTTCTATGTGTCTTGGCTGTTCTTATGTAGGGGGTACATGGAAAAAAAGCTAGGCTGGTATTACCACTCGCCCAGGAACACAAGGCACTGAAGTGAACTTAGGAGAGGAAGGCTCAATTATATTCATGTATTCAGAGTATTTTCTGTTGAGCTTTGGTTTCAGGTCCGACCACAGAGTGGGCTTCTATTTTTCTTGTTCTTTTGTAGTCATTTTACAGCAGGAACTATAATAGTCATCAGGGTAGGACAGGGTTCCGATCTGTTGTTCACAGAGTCACTGTGAGTCATACTCGACTTGACAGCATATAACAGTGCAACCTTACAGTCATGGGGTGGTACTGTCTGATGATTATGTATTTTCTATAGAAGTTGGGTTTGTTCTCTTTGGAGCATAGTTGCCCAGCTGTTACCCAGAGGCTGTCATATGGGTTTTTGTTTTTGTTTTTGTTTTTTTAGTTTATTGTTACTTTCTTCTTATGCCATATTGAAAACTCTGTAGTGCACTTTCAAAAATTCTAACAATATTCTGCATTTAGAATTATGTTAAACAAACATACCAGGTTTTCCAGATAAACATATATGTAACTAAGAATCATAGCATACACGAGCACACTTTGTTCTGTTGTCCAGGCAAGACCTCCTCAGAGAAACTTTCCTATGCTTCTTCCAATACTAGAAATTAAACTGTTAGCCTTTATCAGTCTATAACCTAGAAGGCATTTTTCAAATCATCAAGAATATAGAGCTTCTTGAAAAGTGAGCACATAAACAGGGCTTTCACAGGGTTCTGGTCTGCTCCTGGTTTCTAAGCAGAGAGAACAGTACATACACAGCATGCATACCCACAACAAGCCCCTTTACCACATTTTCACATTGCTATTAATAACAACAACAGTCGGTTGGTCCTACTTCTCGTGAGGTTCACCACCCAAAACGCCAACATTGAGATGTATCCAAAGACATGTACTGTGACAGCCAAGACTAAATAGAATCAGAGAACAGGTTTCAACCATATCTGAGAGGAATGTTATGTGGGGGAAAAAATAAAGGCACTAAAAGTATCTAATCTAATAAATACTAAACATACAACACAAAGGAGATATATTTTTAAAAACAACTAAGTTAAAAAAAGAAAAGCTAAACTTAGATAGTGGTCATAGAGTGAAGAATCAAATCACAATATCTTAAATTTATCGAGTGTTATCTAAGTGATACTAGGCCTGGTTATTGATATAAAATATGTCTATACTTTGAAGTAATTACATCAGTCTCTTTGGATGTCTTCCTCTCTTTGACACAGTAACTGCAGCAATGCACTCAGATGTGTGAAGACAGCACAGGATAGAACAGGGTTTCAAGTATATTGTTCATAGAGCCACTGAGTAGTACTCAGCTCAACAGAAGCTGACAACAATAACAATATATTTTCAAGAGAGTCAAGGTCGATAATATGTACGTGAAGTACTCAAGGCTTATAGGAAATCAAGATAGTTACTTTCTTCTAGCTTCTAAAATTGGCCCTGAATCAACCTTTTATTCATGTTATATGTAGATTATCTAGATCAGAAATCTCACACAGCAAACTTCAGAGTACCTAAACATTATTTTTGTTAAAAAAAAATACTGTAACGTGAGTGAAATTTTACAGTGGAGACTGTTCCATTCAACCATTCATACATATTTTTGTTTTATGATAATAATCCCTACATTGATACTTTCCACAATTTGTCTCTCGATAGTGATTTTTTCCATTCCTTTTGACATTTTCTCCCTTCCTACCTTCTGAATTTTGTCCATGTTGCCATTCTGATCTTGTATAGTTGATTGTTCCAAGTATCTTTCTGGTGTTATTGTTTACTTTATATATTGGCCCACTGTTTGACTTGAAGCTTTACTATAGAAGTAAGTTCCACTCCAGCTTTACAGGGTGCCTGAGGGCTATAATCTGGAGAGTTCCACCAGTCTCTATAAGACCAATCAGCTCAACCATTGCTATAATTTTTGGTTTTGGTCTGTCTCTCCCCTACTCTATCCAGGGTCCTCTATTGTGATCCCTTTGAGTCCGTAGTAGCAGTAGCTGGGCACCATCAAGGGAGTTTTTATATCAAGATGTATCAGCACTACTTACTAATTGCTTCCATGTGTCTGATTTTTCTTCACTCTCTTTGCTCAAGACAGGGAGAGATCCATAGTTTCATAGTGTTTTTAACAATCACTTGTTTGTTGTTGAGTACCATCCGAGTCAGAAAAAACCTATAGCTGGCCCTCCAGGGGGTTTGTTGATGTTGTTGTTAAAGTGCCCTCGAGTTGCAGGCAACTCATAGCAACCCTGTGAAGGAGACTCCTCAACGCTTCCGTGCCTTTCATCCTCTCTCCAGGTTCATAGGGTTTCCAGAGGCAAGCTATTATGGAAGTGGATGCTGCTCCTCCTTCCAAGCTTGTTTGTTTGTTTGTTTCTTTGTTTGTTTTTGTTG